ACTATTTATTTTCTTACATAGGTTTCTTGTAAGCTTTAGAAAAAGTACTCTAGCCTTAGTAAACTCAGTACTAATCTTACTCTGAAAGAGCACATTAAGCTTTGAAAGCAATTAGACAGTCTCTGCATAGCTTTTGATACTTCAACTTTGGTACTTTACTATGGGCAGGATCCTTTGGTAGAGATGTATTATTGACTGTACTTGTTTGTGAATGAATACCAGTGGAAGCATAAATATCTGGAAGCAGAGCTGAGAGATTAACAGGGGAAGCTTCTCTAGAATAAGTGAAAACAATTTCACTAGCATCCTTGAGTGTTCTATCTGGGTTCTGTACACATCCAAGCTCCTCAGGCATGAAGAACAATAAGTTTTAATAGTGGTTTTCATTACATTATGCATTTATTTTACAAAATGGAGGTGGCCTGTACAAAAAGTGGCTCTCTCCAGGTCATGATCTGTACTGTCACATGACCCAAAATTTCCTTTAATTAAGCATATTCTCGATCTCACACCTTAATGCTTAATGCTTACAGTAATGCCCTTTATGCTTAATATACCTCTATTTTCCCACCTACCAACTTGGTGGATCAAATTTTTCATGCTTATTGAGAGGAAATGCTAAACTACAGGTATGCTTATTAACAGGTTTCACTGTATACAGGCATGTTCCAACGAGTGGCAAGGTTAGTTGGAGGTCATACAATACCAATGGCTTTAGAAGACAAATAGTATCCTCTTCAATGGTGTATTCTTGTACAGTGACAAATTCTTTTCCCGTTTCTGTCTAAGTGGTACCCTTATCGTTATCACCTTTCAGTCTAAAAATATTTCAGATCACGAGTACGATTAATCGCGCCACACATCAAGTTGCCACACTACTGTATGCTGAAACGTTAATGGCTTGACTTTGCACGCTAAAAATTGCACAATGAGCTCCGCTTTGCACTGAGACATACTGTGACTTCGACGAGGTAAGGTGAGCAGATGAGGTACTAAGTTTAACGCGGCACTCTAACGTGGCACTTGACGGTGGCACCCACGAAAATACGTAACATTAATGATACACGCATATT